GTGAATTAACGCCCATACAAACGAGACGTTCCATCTGAAGCGCATTGTCCAGGTGGAATGTTTTAATCAATACATTAATATTTAATATACCAAGTGGCAAACATTGATTCTCACACGCGCGTTTCATTGCGTGCATAGCGAGCTTACCACATCATTATTAATCGATGAATCGATGCATCGTTCACGAAAGGGAATTCAGCTTCTTGGTTAAGCCTTCCCATTAGCTGCCGCTGAAAGCAAACTAATGTCTTAGCGGTACATTACAAGTAGCAAGCCGGTGACCTATATCTCCATAGTCGAGATGAAAGTGGAGCGTGCAGGGTGACTGAAGCTTGCAACGTACAGTTTACCATGCTGCCAAATTTTTTTACTTCTTTTAAGGCAATAAATCACTGACTTCTCATCACTACTTGAGATTTAAAGGCTCGGAACGTATCATTTTTCCTATGGAAGCAACACCTGCACCCTAATGGAAAGTTATATTAAAGGCTCAGTGCCGTCATTGCGTACAAATGCATACCTGGCAACCTATATAGTTTACCCATATTCTTCTACAGGGAAATTGAGTTTACAAGTCCATACGGCGTACAGCCGTTTAAATACGGCCAAATGCATTTTTTGTCTATTTGTTTGTGTTTCTCCCTTGTGATGGGACTTTGTAGGATGAACGTCGAGATTTATAAGGGGCACGGCGTGACCAGTAAGGTCTGAATTGGTCTGTCATAAGGTAGGGCACTGATAAGGGGTTGACAGGTATGCAAATGCAAGAGCAAGCTTGAGCATCTGCAGCTCTGTTTGGGCTTGTATATACTCGCTGGCTCAGTGACGTTGTACTTGTTAAAGTGTTGAGCCAGCGCAGCTGAGATTTCTGGCTTTGAATCCCCGTTGAGACGCCCGTACTTAATCCAGGTTTTTCTTCAGAGTGGAAACATGCTTGTGGTATCTGTGGGACCTGTTTTTGCCAATATCAAAATGATGAAATAATGAGTATTGGTATGGCGTTGACTGTTACGTTAGCCGACTCTCTGTGTTGTATTGCATTATATTTATAAGTTTACTAGGTTTGTTTTCTCATTCATTCGTACCTGATGACGATTGCTCGTGTTGCAATCGAAACGTCGTGTTCGATTATTGAATTTATTTTCTTTCTACGTGACTTTACCGAAAGAACCAATAAGTAATAAGTATAGGCTTTACCCCCTTTTTGGAAATAACACAGGAGGTGTGAAGATGTTTAAAAACCAAATGGTCACCGATTGCAAGGCGTCACGTCTGCGTTGGCCACACAGTACTTGTGGCAAAACATGCAAATAAACGTGCTCTTATAATATTTGCATTGCATTTGAAACTTATTGGCCAACACCCAGAGACAGCCTTCTTCATGACCTTGTCTCACCGGTGTTAGACGAGAGAACGCCAAATGGCGAACAGTACAAAGATATAACACAAATATCAAAACATTGATAGTTCGGGTTGAGTAGTTGTATCTACGGGACCTTTTTTTTATTTAATCAAACTTATGTTGTTGGCCAGGTCACCAGTGACTGCGTTATCCAAGCATGGAACCGTTTATACTGGTACGAACCTCCTGGTTACAGTGAGGGAAAAACGTATTTAATCCCCTGCTGATTTTGTACATTTGCCCACTGACAAAGAAATGATCAGTCTATAATTTTAATGGTAGGTTTATTTGAACAGTGAGAGACAGAATAACAACAACAACAACAAAATCCATAAAAATGCATGTCAAAAATGTTATAAATTGATTGGCATTTTAATGAGGGAAATAAGTATTGGACCCCTCTGCAAAACATGACTTAGTACTTGGTGGCAAAACCCTTGTTGGCAATCACAGAGGTCAGACGTTTCTTGTAGTTGGCCACCAGGTTTGCACACATCTGAGGAGGGATTTTGTCCAACTCCTCTTTGCAGATTTTCTCCAAGTCATTAAGGTTTCGAGGCTGACGTTTGGCAACTCGAACCATCAGCTCCCTCCACAGATTTTCTATGGGACTGGCTAGGCCACTCCAGGACCTTAATGTGCTTCTTCTTGAGCCACTCCTTTGTTGTCTTGGCCGTGTGTTTTGGGTCTTTGTCATGCTGGAATACCCATCCACGACCCATTTTCAATGCCCTGACTGAGGGAAGGAGGTTCTCACCCAAGATTTGACGGTACATGGCCCCGTCCATCGTCCCTTTGATGCGGTGAAGTTGTCCTGTCCTCTTAGCAGAAAAACACCCCCAAAGCATAATGTTTCCACCTCCATGTTTGACGGTGGGGATGGTGCTCTTGGGGTCATAGGCAGTATTCCTCCTCCTCCAAACACGGCGAGTTGAGTTGATGCCAAAGAGCTCCATTTTGGTCTCATCTGACCACAACACTTTCACCCAGTTGTCCTCTGAATCATTCAGATGTTCATTGGCAAACTTCAGACGGTCATGTATGTGTGCTTTCTTGAGCAGGGGGACCTTGCGGGTGCTGCAGGATTTCAGTCCTTCACGGCGTAGTGTGTTACCAATTGTTTTCTTGGTGACTATGGTCCCAGCTGCCTTAAATTAATTGACAAGATCCTCCCGTGTAGTTCTGGGCTGATTCCTCACCGTTCTCATGATCATTGCAACTCCACGAGGTGAGATCTTGCATGGAGCCCCAGGCCTAGGGAGATTGACAGTTCTTTTGTGTTTCTTCCATTTGCGAATAATCGCACCAACTGTTGTCACCTTCTCACCAAGCTGCTTGGCAATGGTCTTGTAGCCCATTCCAGCCTTGTGTACGTCTACAATCTTGTACCTGACATCCTTGGAGAGCTCTTTGGTCTTGGCCATGGTGGAGAGGTTGGAATCTGGTTGATTGATTGATTGCTTCTGTGGACAGGTGTCTTTTATACATGTAACAAGCTGAGATTAGGAGCACTCCCTTTAAGCGTGTGCTCCTAATCTCAGCTCGTTACCTGTATAAAAGACACCTGGGAGCCAGAAATCTTTCTGATTGAGAGGGGGTGAAATACTTATTTCCCTCATTAAAATACAAAGCAATTTATAAAAATTTTGACATGCGTTTTTCTGGATTTTGTTGTTGTTATTCTGTCTCTCACTGTTCAAATAACCCTACCATTAAAATTATAGACTGATCATTTCTTTGTCAGTGGGCAATCGTACAAAATCAGCAGGGGATCAAATACTTTTTTCCCTCACTTTACACCGGCCCACAGGGGATTATTTTGTCGTCTGTCGTGCATCCAAAAATGGGAGGGGTGGGGCTGGGTGGAGAGGGGAGGGTGGGGAGGGGCCGGTTGGGGAGGGGAGTGTGGGGAGGGGAGTGTGGGGAGGGGCTGGGTGGGGAGGTTGGGGCTGGGTGGAGAGGGGAGGGTGGGGAGGGGCTGGGTGGGGAGGGTGGGGAGGGGCTGGGGGCAGAGGGTGGGGGGTGGGAGGGGTGGGGCTGGGTGGGGAGGGGCTGGTCACCCCGTGGTGCCCTTATAAAACTCAACGTTTAACCTACTCACTCCGGCTTGTGCCCGCCTTCACAGTCGGGCATATTGTGCTGAATGCACCATGTGGTGCCGCCGTTGACCCTGGCCATTGACCGAGCAAGCCAACGTTCCTACCAGCACCCTCCGCAGGAGAATGTGTTTAATGTGATTTGAGGTCACTCCTGCAAATGAGAATCATCCTGGTCTCTTGAGTGGCTGGCTAATAAAGATAAACTTTTAATGTGGCTGTCTAGTTCTTGATGTAGTTTTTGTTGCACAATTATGCCTTGATTATACCCGTGCAACGATTGATCATAAGAATCTAGTTTTTTATTGAAATAAATAAAATCTCGTTCACTGCCGCCATAATAACACCACTTTAAATAGGAGGTTTTTTGTTTCAAAGCTTCAGAAACACACACATACATCTGTTTTTTCATTTTGTACCTTTCAAGGTGTCTTTAAAAATTCATGCCATTCGCGCACCTGTGCTTTGATCAAATGCGCCGGTGTAAATGCTACCTATGTCTCGTTTCTAAGTGTATCTGCATTAAAATTAACATGGCAGATTTAAATGACCGTTTTTTCGAACTAAAGCGTGGTATTTTGATAATAATAATTATCCATATTTAACTTATTTTTTTCTTTTAAAATAGAACATTTTTTTATATTTCGATTATGATGTGCTATCTTTTTTTATTTCGCTTGTCTGTTATTGTTCATTGTTAAGTTATTTCACTGTGACTTGTTGCGTATGTCGGGGAAGTGTTGGTTTTGTTTATGGTTGTAGAAACCCGATATTTTAGAGCCTATTGGCTCACAGGGTAATTCAAAATAAATTGAACTGAAGCTGAACTGAACTGAAGTGAGCTTGACGCGGGATAACGTGACAATTTGGACATCCCGTCACCTTGCCTTATGTCCCGTTGAGGATGAAGAGGAGTAAGTAAGCAGTGACCATCCCCACAGCAGATTGTGATGTACGTCTAGTGACCTGCCCTAACGGTAGACGACCCCCTCTGCTCCCGCGTGGGTGTTTTTGCGGTCGCTCCGTGCAGCCCTCTCCGCTGTGTTTTTTCGTTTGTATTCACACGTTGTTCGGCGACGAAAAATGTAGTTCCTGAGAAATCTCCCCGAAGGTCGAGTGTGAAACGTTGGACATCTTTCCGAACAACACGCCGTCCAAGCCGCAAACACGTTGGAGAGCTGGAAGATAGATGGAATCGATTTATTTTAGCAGGAAGGGCCCAATAAACTGTTAGGCTCCATTTTTGATGCCACATAGTACAGATCTGAGTTACACATCATGGTTCACGTAAGTCGCGATGCAAACAGCGGGTATCGGTACGTGCTTCACACGTCACAGGAATAGGGAACCGGTCGAAAACTTAAAAACAATACACAGCATGACTAAATCATTCCACGAGCAAAGGTAAAAGAAGGGATTTTTTTTATTTTCCCTTTCACAAAGCGAATAGAATCGGTCACGTTTTATTCATGCACAACTGCCCATGATGTCCCTTCTCACAGGCGACCGAGACCATCTTCCGGATGTGCGTGACCCGCGGATACGTGACGCCCGTCAGGCACGGAGAGGTAACGGAGCAACGGCCGGTGACGTTCCCCACCACACGACTCAGGACTCGCAACAGTGGCCTCCTCCTGGCAAACGGCTGAGCCCAGCTCTGCAGACGAGGGCGTTGAGTCCATTTGGTCATTCGCCTTTTGCCGCGGCGGCGAGATGTTATCTCCCTCGCCTGGTATGCGGGAGGTCGTGGGTTTGATCCCGACCCGTTGAGTCCATTTGGTCATTCGCCTTGGCCGCGGTGGTGAGATGTTATCTCCCTCACCTGGTATGGAGGAGGTCGTGGGTTCGATCCCAATCCTGACGCCTGTTTATTTCTAGTTTGCATATTCTCTCCGTGGTCACGTGGATTTTTCTCCGGGTCCCTCTGATTTTCCCCTCCACATTTAGGATCAATATCCATTTAGAGTATTTGGCTGCTATAAATGTTGCACATGATAGGCCACTTCTTTCATCTATCATTTGTGGCCGGGTCATTTCTATAAAAGAGCTAATAGCGTAGTGGGCTTTTTCTGGTATAATAAAAATATAAACATAGTACTGTCGGCATCTATATTGGTAACATGCGTTTGTAACAACATGCAACATTGTCTTGAAGTCTTGAGTGATTTTGATCATTAAAAATTGGTACAGTTTTTCATGATGACTAATGTGGTTAGCATTAACTAGAGTCATACATTTTAACAACAATGTGACCTTGATAGTGCTGTACAAACACCCGGGCCTTACAAACACGATACAGTTTTTGTCATTGAAACATTATCCACGGGTACATGTCTACAGTATTCACAGTACTGTGAATTTTGATGTTTGGCGCCACTTACGGTCGTTATACGCGGGGTCGCCGATGGAAAGCGATCGTTGTGTGGAGGCAGCAATCCACACGGGAGAATGAATTCGTTACAACCGAGGGATCACGGTTCGTAATAATGGCTGAATACCGTATCATTGATATTCATTAGGCAATATTCATCACCATCCTCATCGTGGAATTTCGTTTGCACCATACGTAGCCAACCGCGCTAATCGGCGGTGCGGGGGAAAAACAAACTAAAAAAAAAATCAGTTTCTGAAGAAATTAGTTCTCCATGTCAATCCACTGCTGTACCGAGGCCTCCCCAAACCGATGACATTTTTCACGATCCTGTGATGTAACAACCCGCCTACCAACACCTGCAGTATTATTAATCTGCCGTGCTACTGCGCATCACGTATGGATTTCACGCTCGCCTTGAGTTATGACTGCACACACTTGCATGCAGGCCACGTTCACAGTGACACTTCCCAATGCAATTGCTGTTCATTGTTTGCTCACAGGTCCTGCTGTTTTGTATCACGGCATCTCTCTACATGTACCTGTTCAGGTGGGTTCACACACACACACGCACACACTCGTGCTCTGTTGACCGTTCTCTTCAGGATGCTGCGTAGAATGCATAAGGCTTCTGACACGAGTACCTACGGCCAAATAACCCTTGAATGCGTTGGATGCCATGGCATCTCGGCGCTAAGCAGGGTTCAGCTGGGATATTACTCAGATGGGCGACTTGCTCGGGCTGTGAGGTGGCCACGAGATAGCGGTGGGTATGAGAACCGTGACCGTTGAGTGCTATACCCCCTCGTACACGTCGGGTTTCTCCAGGCTCTCCATGCGTTTCCGCCCATCTGACAACGCTCGTTCGTGAATTTGGTCCAAATGACAAAGAGCCGCGAGACAGTGAGGCCTTTCCGGGGTTTCTGGCTTCTCTGGCAGCTGCTGGCCGTGTAATGACACTGAGTCAACATTGCTTAGATCCTGGCATGGAATCGAGGTTTTGGTGAAAATTGATTATTACTGGTTCATCGTTTCACAATGACGGCAGATGGACATAAATTTCAGTTTTTCCTTTATCTCAGCCTAGCCGTCCTTTGAGAGAGGTGATATTTTGTAACTTTGCAGCTGAGGTTTTGTTGTTGTGAAATAAGTAATGCCTACAGTTTGAGAACAATAATTATTCTGAAGTTGGGTGATGCTTATTTATTTAGTTATTTTTCTGCCGAGATTGATAGTTCTCGTAATTCCTGAGCTACTTGCACGCACAGAAAGTGTCGGTCGTGTGCTGTTAGCGAAATGCCCGCCAGAAATAAAACCGGTAAAGGTCATAAATCCACGCCCGTCTTCTGCATATGCAGAGAGACACGTGCACACACACGCAAGACAAAGACCACCTGTATAGCCTTTTAATAGACCGTAGGGGGCAAGTGCTGTTTGCGTGCGACTATGAAGGCCGGTACCGCACACGAGGGGGTGGGTGACCAGCACCACACCTGGCCGCCTTTGTCTCCCCTATTGGTGATGTTTGCTCCACATTGCAACTCGCGCCGTGGGATTTGTAGTGCGGTGCGCTAACCGCTATGCACGCGCGCACGCACAATGCGCCGACTCTTCCTGTTTGTATTGGAGGGAAAAGCTCGCTCGTGATTGTGAGAAAAAAAAAACGATTTACCACTCGCTTTTGAAGTCGTCAAAAGAACCCTGTCGGGTTTGTGGCCTCCGAGGGTAATCACCTCTGGGGCCCGACTTAGATTTCAAGCCTGGCTTGACCACGCCGTTTGTGCCACAAGTGTTTGGATTAAGTTTCCTCTGTTGTGGAAACCGCCCCCCCCCCCCTTCCCCCCGCCCCGCCGCGTACCCACCGATAAAATGAAACAACAAAGGCTACTTGGATTTTCGTTCTTTTTTTACGTAGCATTCATTCTCGACGTGTATTTGAAATGGAAGCCATTATTGAGGAAAGCCTTAATTATTCTCAGAGTTTTCTTTGAGGACGGCCCAGGCGAGCGTTAATAGGCCCCAGTGCCTGTTCAAGGGAAGACATGAAACGCAAACAAATAGCTCTTGTAGACGCGGACCCCTGTGCACTCCTCCGCCGCTTCCAGCGCTACAGACCACTTCATCCCTGAGTGCCCCCACAGCCTTCCAGGTGTCTCCTGCGCAACGCTCTCCCGGTTCCGCTCTTACCTCTCAAGCCGCTGCTGCTATGTATCCACACAAGGACCGTCCCCCTTCCCAGAAACCCATGTGCTTCCATCCTTCGCTAACCCCCTCCCCTGCTCTCCCCAATATACAGTGAGGGAAAAAGTATTTGATCCCCTGCTGATTTTGTACGTTTGCCCACTGACAAAGAAATGATCAGTCTATAATTTTAATGGTAGGTTTATTTGAACAGTTAAAGACAGAATAACAAAAAAATCCAGAAAAACGCATGTCAAAAATGTTATAAATTGATTTGCATTTTAATTAGGGAAATAAGTATTTTACCCCCTCTCAATCAGAAAGATTTCTGCCTCCCAGGTGTCTTTTATACAGGTAATGAGCTGAGATTAGGAGCACAGTCTTAAAGGGAGTGCTCCTAATCTCAGCTTGTTACCTGTATTAAAGACACCTGTCCACAGAAGCAATCAATCAATCAGATTCCAAACTCTCCACCATGGCCAAGACCAAAGAGCTCTCCAAGGATGTCAGCGACAAGATTGTAGACCTACACAAGGCTGGAATGGGCTACAAGATCATTGCCAAGCAGCTTGGTGAGAAGGTGACAACAGTTGGTGCGATTATTCGCAAATGGAAGAAACACAAAAGAACTGTCAATCTCCCTCGGCCTGGGGCTCCATGCAAGATCTCACCTCGTGGAGTTGCAATTATCATGAGAACGGTGAGGAATCAGCCCAGAACTACACGGGAGGATCTTGTCAATCATCTCAAGGCAGCTGGGACCATAGTCACCAAGAAAACAATTGGTAACACACTACGCCGTGAAGGACTGAAATCCTGCAGCGCCCGCAAGGTCCCCCTGCTCAAGAAAGCACATATACATGCCCGTCTGAAGTTTGCCAATGAACATCTGAATGATTCAGAGGACAACTGGGTGAAAGTGTTGTGGTCAGATGAGACCAAAATGGAGCTCTTTGGCATCAACTCAACTCGCCGTGTTTGAAGGAGGAGGAATGCTGCCTATGACCCCAAGAACACCATCCCCACCGTCAAACATGGAGGTGGAAACATGCTTTGGGGGTGTTTTTCTGCTAAGGGGACAGGACAACTTCACCGCACCATGTACCGTCAAATCTTGGGTGAGAACCTCCTTCCCTCAGCCAGGGCATTGAAAATGGGTCGTGGATAGGTATTCTAGCATGACAATGACCCAAAGCACACGGCCAAGGCAACTAAGGAGTGGCTCTAGAAGAAGCACATTAAGGTCCTGGAGTGGCCTGGCCAGTCCCCATACCTTAATCCCATAGAAAATCTGTGGAGGGAGCTGAAGGTTCGAGTTGCCAAACATCAGCCTCAACCTTAATGACTTGGAGAAGATTTGCAAAGAGGAGTGGGACAAAATCCCTCCTGAGTTGTGTGCAAACCTGGTGGCCAACTACAAGAAACGTCTGACCTCTGTGATTGCCAACAAGGGTTTTGCCACCAAGTACTAAGTCATGTTTTGCAGAGGGGTCAAATACATTTATCCCCCATTAAAATGCAAATCAATTTATAACATTTTTGACATGCGTTTTTCTGGATGTTTTGTTGTTATTCTGTCTCTCACTGTTCAAATAAACCTACCATTAAAATTATCGACTGATCATTTATTTGTCAGTGGGCAAACGTACAAAATCAGCAGGGGATCAAATACTTTTTTCCCTCACTGTAGAGGAGGTTGTGGGCTTGATCCCAACCCTGTCGCCTACATATTTGGAGTTTACATGTTCTCCCCCTGGTTGTGTGGATTTTTCTCTGGGTTTTCCCCTCGACATTTAGAAGCATGCATTTTGACAAGCTACTTTTGAAAAAGAGCTATATAGCTCATTGGGCCTTACCTGGTAAAGTAAAAATCTTTGGTTTTGATTTACGCATGTCTGCGGGTTTCTGTGTTCGTTGTTGAAAATCACCACGTGAATGTACATCGCGTCTAAATGCACCTCCATCTCTAAAATGATGCGCAGAAATGGCGACTGCGGGAGTTGCGCGATCTAGCAGAGAGAAGGAAGCGATGGCGAGGTGTGGTGACGTTAACAGCATTGGCGTTGCCTTCTGACACACGCCCGATTTATTGCATCTTGCTTTAAAATTGTATAGCCCTCTGTTAATCCAATGCTGGATGAATGCATCCCGTGCCATTGTTGGTCATGGGCGTTGTTTGACCGTACTTCTGCATGCTGGTTGAGAGTGGGTTGGTGAATATTCGCCATAGCAGGGAAACTAACTTGGGTCACCGGGTTCTCAACACTTTGCAAATCCCCTCCGTGCCTCCGCTGACACCCGTGATTTTAAATTGCCGTACTGTGATGGTCAGCACACTCCACTCGCAATCCAGAGCTCGCGTGTTCCATTCGGTCTCTAGGGGCACCAGTTGAAGCAACGGTGCAAGTTTTATCAAATCTCTACCCACACCTCCTCACCCAGCAGCTATGAATGGGTACACCGCAGGCAATCGGTTGGTTGCACGTGCGCGCGGTGAGGAAAAGTGTATGTACACACACCTCTTCCAAGACGTCTCTGTCAATGTGGAAGAGTAGGCCAAATACCTTCTAGAGTTCGATCTAGGCGGGGGGGGGGGGGAGAGGCCCCTTCCACCAACAGTGGTGTGAGATGGCCATTCGCAGGGCTGCGCCACACTTTGACAGAAAAAAAAAACGAGGAAAAGGGTAGGAGGACTGCCCTTAAGTTGGACATGCTCATGACTCAGAGCTGCTCGTCAGCAGTCTATCACGGGCTGGTGGGAAGAGAGAGACAGAGCTTACCCCTAGCTGGGCCGTACAGCTTGTCTCCCAGTGTCGTTCTCATATCTACACGCACATTGCTCTTTCGTCTCATTGGAACATGAGAATTAAGTGTTAACTTCCTGTAAAATGGGCATAAAATTCCACTGATGTAACTGTGAAGGTTTTTTGGCCTTCCATCGTAATTTTTTTTTTTGGGGGGGGGGGGATAGATATCTTTTCCCACCACATTCCGCTGTCAGAAGACATCTGTGAAAATAATTCCCCATTGTTTCGCCTGTGTTTTGCATTAAGGCTGCGTACGATATAAAGCCCACTCATCTAACCCGTGTAACCGAAAGCGTGGCTGGCCGTGTTTACAGTAGGGGGGGGGGGGGCGATGATTACTGTGTACATTACAATTGAGCAATTTGCTCGTGATTTTTTTCTTTCAAATTTAGACGATTAGACCATGACGCTGTCACGCAGTGGGCTGCTCTTGCGAATTATGTCACGGGGATCATTAAAGTCCACTGTGAAGAAAGCAGACGGCACGTATTTTTACGTTTAACACACCTGCGGTATTAATCAGGGCGTCCGCTGGATTCGAACCGTGAACCTCTGCAACAGT